CATAAAATGTTCCTGTAGTAGATAAACTGAAGTTCCGGGTAATTACAAACATAGGTACTATTTCTTACCTAATAAGGAATTAATATAACACACAGAGGTGGTATCCAAGATTTTATAAATAATTTTGACTGCAACATGAAGCGTGTCGTCAGTAAAAACTTAATTAATGCAATTCGTATCAGCACGCAACATCATTGTTATAAAAAACGTATAAAAAATACTGTATATAAAGACGCAGACGGTTGTCTTTTACTTGTTATAAATTTTATTCAGAAACGTACTTAACACATCTCTATACCTACTTTTATTTTAATATAATTTTTAGACTTTTATATAATAAATAAAATAATGTTTAATTTATGTAAAATGTATGGAGTGCGAAGTTCGGCGGTAAGAAATTGTGCGGTGTTTAATAAAATAATGATCGCTAAGGCTAATCGAGGATATTCTAGTGCATCGAGGTGTGTGTTCAAAGGTTTTTGTGTGGATTATGTTTTTTTTTATGTAGTAATTTTGCATTCTACGTCTATTATCTCTAAGTGTGGGAGAGCCATGCTTCGGCACGAATGGGCCGGCTCGACCGGATTGATACCACGGCCTCACAGAAAACCGACGTGAAGCAACGCTTGCGTGGTGTATCGTCGTGTGAGTGAGGTTACCGGAGGCCCAATTACCCTCCCCTTCCCGAATCTCCACAATTCCTGAATCCCCAACGATCCTCAAACTCCTAATCCCCAAAAGGCCCTTGTAACGCCTTAGGTGTTCCAGGTGTCCATGGGCGACGCCGATTGCTTACCATCAGGTGAGCCGTCTGCTCGTTTACCGGCTTATGCCATAAAAACAACACACTCTGATGAATGTAACGAAGATACGTGTATTCAAATCATAGTAAATGTTTATATGCCAACGCCACTTACAATTTAAAGTCATTATTTTTTCACTTCTAATGTATATCTTCTGTCTAGGTCCGTAGGTACAGATTCGATGAACATAATTATTATAATTAGATTTTTTTTAAATAAAATGTTGGCTGACACTAGGTTTTTCTCCTGTGTCGTGAGTGCGTTTACAAACATACAAGTTCACATACGCACTTATACTACCTCTAAATTGTATGCACTTTACCGAAGCCAAATGTATAGTGACCGACCTTTGGTCGGCCGAAGTTAATATACAAACAATAGTTTACTGTCTCTGTAGTATATCAATATTTATAACTTCCTTGCATACATAATGACTTGGCCGACTGAACAATCGTAGAAAAAAAATCTGGCAATAGTTATGTTTCGGTCGGGATTTTGAAAATATTTATTAATTACAATTTTAATTAAGTTAATTTGTCATTTCAGTGTATTATTTAGACTGGCTATCTAACGTCATTATGCAATGCAATTGTAAATTGAGTAGATGCTAAGTTGCATAAGGCCCTAGGAGCTATATCATGAAAGGGGATCGAAATAACGAGTTACGATGAGTTAATTCATTAAACTGTCAAACACCAAGCGGACACCGGTGACCGCAACCTATTGTTCTATAATTGTGTCTACAAAACCGGTACTCGACGAGTTAAGACCATTTTTTCAATGGTCATATAAATTTTAACTGAGGAATAACTTTGAATATTTAACAATTTTTTCATCCTAAAAACTGTCAAATGTCAATTTTATTCCACAGTTAAGAATGGACTGATAATTGAAAAGTCGGCCTTAAAAATATTTTGTGACTAAATAAGGTTGATATTTTTCAGTGTCATTTCAAAGGACAAATATCAGTCAGTTGCAGACTTTTATTCTGGGAAGTCTGTGTTCATCACAGGGAGCACCGGATTCCTGGGGAAGGTTAGTTATCGTTTATATCATTAATCAGTTTTTTTTATTGATAGTGATGTTGATCAAACATATAGTATCTTTTATGACCACTAGTAAAAAGATCTCTGACTGCCTCGTTGGCCAAGTGGTCGCAAGTGCGACTGCCGGGGAACGGGTCTCGAGTTCGATTCTCGGGTCGAGCAAAGTATTACTAGGTTCTTAAAAAATTCTCAGTTGTAGCACGGAGTCTGAAATTGTGCCCGGTATATGGCAATAGGCTCACCCCCCTATTACATGGGACTCATAACATAAATAGTGAAAAGTGGGTGATTGTACAGTGGCACAATGTACAGATCTGAATACCACTTCGGGGATAAAAGGCATGATATTATGTTATGTTAGTAAATAGATCAATGTCTTGTGTAATTAATTTTAAATTAGTGTACACATTACTTGTTTCAGGTCTACATCGAAAAACTATTACACTCGTGTCCAAAATTAGATAAAGTATATTTATTAATCAGAGAGAAGAAAGGTATAAGTGCTGATAAAAGAATTACAGATTTGTTTGATAACCCGGTGAGTTATATTTTGTAAGAAAACTAGATTCTAATCGCAACTTTGACCATATGAATAGTTAATCTATGTCTTTCGTCTTTTCGTATTTACAAATATATGTAGGTAAGTCATATTTTAAAAAGATTAGCTGATTAGATAATGTGTAAAGAGATAATAATAAAAGATACAAACAATCGAAAATAGGTGGGATTCACTTGGGATACCCATCATAAAAAAATACTTAATAAAAATATTACTTACCTACATGGCATTATTGCTAAGGTACATAATAATATAAGTGGTATGCACGCTCTAATATTCTATGATATTTATTTTAAAAGGCGTTCTATTGAGTACTTATGTAAAAAATATATGTAGTGTGTGTGACGCCTCGCCCTATAAGTAGTGTAAGTTAGTTATTAGACACTTAATTAAAGATATTCCTAACAGTAACACGTCTCCCTCATTGCTCCACATTGCATGGCGATCCTGCCAGTGCTGCCACGCGGGCAGCGCTGAGCACGAGTGCAATGTTGGATATTTGCATTTGTTAAAAATAATTAAGTAATTTAAGTGAAGTGGACTAAAAAAGTGCATTGTGCCCTAAAAAAAAAACAAAATGTGGATATTTTTGCTGGCTGCCGGGTGTCGATGCAGCCTGATGTGGACCTGCCGGGAGCGGTTGGTGTCTTGGAGGATGGAGCCGGGAGATGTTGGCGACCAGGTAGCGTTTGAGAGAATCTCCGCTACCCTGGGTACGCGATGTAACCGGATTTGAAAGAACTTGAGTGTTTAAAATGTTAAGTGTATTAGTGTAGTTAAAAAGTGAAAATGGACACCAATATATAGAACTAGTAGATAAGTTAAACATAATTTTAATAAGGGCCCAACGTATATTTGGTATTTTAGCTATTTCACATAATTTTAAACATTTTATTTATAATATAAGTGTACACTAGATATAGTTCACGCCTGTTGACAATATTATTAGTTTTTGTATTGAATCATTTTGTGCTTAATATAATTTTGAATGAACTAATGTTAAATCTTGCAATTTTTTGTTGTAATTTAGATTTTTTTTTTAATTTCGTACTTCGCTGACATTAATCAGATTAAAGGAATGTTTCCATGCCCATATAGGTAAATGATGTCATACCGAGTGTCAGATTGTATTGAAAGAATCGTGTTACTTGACACCGATTAACAATAACAACTGCACTTTGGTTTTGTCTTATGAAATAAATAAATTAGATGAATGAAATTTGATATTAGCTAGGCTTTGGAATGTGTTCATTGTTTGTATAAGTATGTAAGTTTGGTTTTTAGGTAGTTTGGAATAACTTGGTACACAAGTTTTGGCGTATGACTGAGGGCTGATCACCTAAAGACAACGTAATATTTTGTAGACCAAGCAATTCAATTAGATTGTGTTTATGTTAGGTTTGATAGTTGAAGGATAAGTTAATAATAAATATAATAGGTACACATGGTAAGGTACAGTTTAGTGTTCATGTCCTTAGTTTGATCATGGTGTAGACGAGCTCTCTCTGTGAAAATTATTGGAGGTTAAAAGAACCTTAAATATTGACACTAAATTTATAATGAATATAGAAGTGAATGATAGTAAGCACAAGTATATTGATGAAATGAAGAATGATGATAAAATATATTGAAATAAATAATTAATGAACAGGTACCGGAGAGTCCTGTATAAATGTAATGTGCTTACATGTGTATAATGTTATTATGTACCTTACGATGATAGTGAAAAGTTTTAAATAAAGTATATCATGTGTACCTAGTTATAAAAGACATAAAGGTTTAGGATAAAGGAAAATGAGTATAATAATATGAATAATAAATATGTAAGAGGAATAAATTGATAACAGATTTTTAATAAATATTTTATAAAAATTGTCAACAGTGCGAGTAATTTTATATAAATAATATATAATTTTATAGTAGTATCTAAAAAAAAATGTGTTAGAATATTGATTTTTTTTTTCAAAAAAACGGGGGAGGTGTAGTGTGTGTGACGCCTCGCCCTATAAGTAGTGTAAGTTAGTTATTAGACACTTAATTAAAGTTATTCATAAGAACAACACGTCTCCCTCATTGCTCCACATTGCATATATATTCAAAAATCGAACGCCAGTCGATTCGCAAACATGCCAGAAAGGAGCAATGCACATGCTAATTTTGAGCTATATGCCATTAAATGACAAGTGCTCAATAGAAACATGCTATCGTGCTTAAAGTTAGCATTGCAACCTTTATGCTCTTTCCTTTTCAGTTTCTATAACTTCTTGTTTATTTACAGCTCTTCAAAAGGTTGAAAAGTAGCAACCCTGATTTTTTGAAGAAAGTTGTTCTTGTACCTGGTGACCTTAGCTTACCGCACTTGGGGATATCGCCTAGTGATGAACAGACTCTCATTGACAAGGTTGGTTATTGACTTCAGTAGTTTTTAAGTTAGATTTTAATCTTCATTATTCAGCCTTCAGAACGAGATTTTAGACGCCTGTTGAAATTTGAACCCGCACTCTCATGCATGAGAGTGCGGGTTCAAATTTACCAATGGCGAGTACGAATGTGACTTTTCCATAATATGTACTTCTTAAGATTATTTCGATACCATTGACAAACGGAGAAGGAAAACATCGTGAGGAAACCGGGGATTAAAATTACTAATTATAAGTTTGAAATCGCAAACCCACATTGTGCAAGCGTGGTGATTAGTGCTCAAACCTTCTTCGTGTAAAAAGAGGCTTTACTCTGCAGTGGGCACTTATAGGCTGTTGATGATGATGGTCGCAATCTTCATAATTATATAGTAGTGGTAGTTGTGGTTGATATAATTGTGATGGGAAGCTAGGTAAAAAGACATTAACGCCAGTGTCAGTACCAAGTCTATTATCTAACCTAAAACTGAAAACTTCTACTTTTTAAAACGCGTTATTCATCTTGGTCCTCATCGATATACATTTTTTTTAATGGGATGAGCCGGTTAACGATATATCTCTCAACAATTATTGGATCCGTAAATGCTTAAGCATCTACATTTACCTTTATGTAATTTAAACATACAGCTATATTACTTAAATAATTGTTTTATTTTTTTCCTTTTTCCTATTATTTAATCAAATTGTGTACGTTTAACATTAAATTATTAAAAAAATGTTTACGTAAACTAACCTTTGCCTACGGATTTGTCCGCGTGAAATTTCAAGAAAATTGGTTAAATAGAACGCATAGAGAGGAAAAACTAACTAGCTTTTCCATTTTTAAAATCAGTTTATATTAATTTCAGGTTTCAATAGTATACCATGCAGGGGCAACAGTTAGATTTCATGAGCCGTTGCCAGTGTCCATTAACATCAACTTCGATGGTACAAGGAAAATGCTGGAGCTCAGTCAGCGAATGAAGAACATTGAGGTAAATAAAAGGAACCATTAGATAAAAAAACAAAAAAGTATGTAGTGATATCTACATATACTATATGTCGCAGAATCAACAAAGATGCACAACTATCGAGTATCGTTATTTTAGAACAACGCCATCTGTTATCATTTGTCGGAAACGTCAAGCAGTGTGCTTGGGTGATGGTCGGTACGGGGCGTGGCATGTTGGCATTTGAAAGGCGTCACTTTTGAGTTGGACACGAGGGTGAGCGGGTGTTCTGCCAGCCCGTACCGAACTTACCGCGTTTACGAAGAATCCGATGACGAAGTACCCCCAATAGGTGAATTGTCTTCTACATATATATATAAAATGAATCCCTAATATATCTTGGTCACGCCATCACGCGTGATCGGCTGGACCAATGTCGCTATTTTTTGTTGTGTTTGTTATTGTCAGGAGATGGTTCGTGTGACAGAAAAAAAATCCTGAAAATCCTACGTGGACAGGAGAAAATGGGATTGCGCGTACGAAGTCGCGGACAGAAGCTAGTATTGAATAAAAACATAACATCACGCCTTTTATCCCCAAAGGGTTAGGCAGAGGTGTACATTATGCCACTGTACAACGTAACACCCACTTTTTCACTATTTTTGTTATGAGTCCCCTGTAACAGGGGGTAAGCCTATTGCCATATACCGGGCACAATTCCAGACTCTGTGCTACTACTGTGAATTTTATGGAAAACCCAGTAATACTTTGCCCAACACGGGAATCGAACACGAGACCCCGGCAGTCGCACTTGCGACCACTCGGCCAATGAGGCAGACGTCATTTACGAATACAATAAAATACGTTGTTCATGGGAATAACGCAGAAGTACCGTAGGCAGCACCCACTACTAAACTTGAATTTATCTTAACTAAGTACAGTGGTCAACCTGGTTTAGTAGGCTACAACATGGGGTTCTTCAAGAAGGGAGTAAATTGATATTTAAATGATCAGCAAGACGCATGTAATGCTTTTTGTTTGCAAGCCAAGTTTACAAGTTTGCGAGCATGCAAGTTTGCAAGCATACATAGGCCACGGTAATCTTATGGTAAGGTAAGCACAAAGCCAACGCAAAGTTACAAAGTAGCACCGTGCGACGCACGTGCCCAACTACCCATATAGTGACGGCGCTGAAAAAAAGATTAAGGGTTCCTTTTACGTGCACTCTCTAGTTTTAATCCAATTTTTTAAGCAGATAAAATCATCCAATTGCTTCTCCCGCCCTGGGTGAGGCGGGAGGGATTGTCAAACTCCTACTGACTGAAAATCCCTCCGTTCGTATTCCTACACTCCGGAGCTCTGGTAAAGTTTTACGTTTTCCGCGGCTCCGTATGGACATCAGCCCTATTGGGCCCCATCCGTGGTGGTCGGATGTCTCTTTAAAGCGCTCGCGGAATGCGCCGTACGCTCTTGTAGCTATTAAAATGGCATTCAGAGTACGGAATATACAGCTAAACTCAATACCATTTAGTTCAGTAAATACCCACGCAATACGGATGTAATGGGCGCTAGTGTCGAAACTCAAGAGTACGAAATTTAAAAATATCAATGTCGATCGATCGGAATTGCATTCAAGAGTAAGCCCACTTGTGCTGATCGGGTGGCGAGTTACCCATGCTCGGCTTCCGGAGGCCCATGCTTAAGGTAGCCGGAGATCGTCCAGCGATTCCCGATGCCCGGAGTGTATTTCGCGACGGCTGGGTTTTGAGGAGGTAGTGCTTGGCTGCCTCACGTGCCCCACATCCTCCTTAACTAGCATGACTGCTTCGCATAAGAGGGATCAGGTATCCCGGTCCTCCTCTTAATCCACCTCTGCATTGTATTTTTTTTGTTTACTAGGCTTTTGTCTACGTGTCTACAGCGTACGCTCAAGGTAGTGCTAAAGTACTTGTAGAGACCACATACCCATCACCAGCTAAAGTGGAAGATGTTTACAAATTCATTGAAGAACATGGACATGATAATGATGAAGTCAAAAAGTTTATAGGTACGTATCAACACGTAAGATGGTCAGCAGATCTGTCTACGCGTTCTGCGCTCTGATTGGCCGGCTCGAATGAACCAACCAATCGAAGTGCCGAACGCGTACTCGTTTCGAATACTTTAAAAGTAAATCAAACTCGTACTAATAGTTAGATTTGCGACTTTTATGTCAATAAAATAATGGTGAATATGTAATAGCGTAATTTAAAAGAAACGAATAGGCCTGCTGGCTACCGTACAGTACCGTAATAATACTGTTAGTATGTTTTAAAATTCTGATAAGAAATGTTCATAATCGAAAAGGAATCCAAAGTATCATAATAAATGCGAATTGAATTAGGTTCTTTCCTTAATCAAAAATTAATTATTTCGACTGTTCAATATGATAAAATATGAAAAAATAATCACACTTTCATTAAGTAATTTTATGATCAATTTAATTTTAGTATTATTTCAGTACATTTAAAAAAATTAGTATGCTGTTTGACGCTACAAAAATGACGTCACAATACACAATCGCGTACAAAATTAATAGAAAACTGTCGTTTTTGACAGTTCGAAAAAAGTATTGAATTTGACTAGCTGGCAAATAGCCAATTTGAAGTCTGTTTTTCCATAAGGGTACCTAAGTGAAAGTCTATTCCAAATTCAAAACTCGACAAACCGGTTTCGGTCAACTGCACGGTTGGCGCGGTGGCATGAAAACTGGCTGCCGTGCAACATGCCGCGGGTTCGATTCAGCCATGGAAAATTAAACTCTTAATGTGATCCACAGATTGTTGGTTCCGAGACTGGGTGTCGTGTGTACGTGAACTTGTATGTTTGAACACTTTGGAACGAGCAAATAGCTTCACTAGAGGACTGACCTACAGACTGACATTTTTTCTTATTATTTAATATTTAAATATTTTGTTTTGACGTTCAAGAGTGCCTTACTGGTCTTATTGAAATAAATGATTTTGACTTTGACTTTGACTTTGACTTTGAATACGCACCCACGACACAGGAGAAAATTCTAGAGTGGGGCAAAGTTTTTAAATATAAAAAAGTTACAAAACCACTTTTGGATTACGGCCTATCTTGTGTTACGCACTGATTACATTTTTATTTCTTATTATTTCTCAGGTAGTCATTTCGGCACGTATGCATTCGCTAAATCATTATCAGAAGCCTATATTGCGAAAAATCATGGGAAAGTACCCGCTGTCATCATCAGGCCTTCAGCAGGTGAATATATTATTTTTAAGAATTAATATACCTATACTTATGCCGGAATACAGAAACGTTATTCAATTTTAAGTCGTGCTTAAATATCGTGCCATCTCTGTCATTTTCCAAAGAATTAGTGGTGACAGAACCATACTTAAGCGTGACTTAAAATTGAGTAACGTTTCAGTATTCGGGAATTAATCATTTATAATTAATCTATGGTACTTACCCTGTGGTATGTAAGTTCCCCTGTATGCGTCCACCCACCAGTTCATGTCCAAGATTTCCGTTCCCGAAAGCAGAGGTACTTGACTAGTTTCCAATGGGGAATTTTTTACTGCACATCTATTTAAAAATTTAAGCAAACCAAATTTCTCCACTAATAACCTACTGCATATCAAAAAAATGAACCGTAAAACAAAAATACTGATTTGCACACAAATTGTTGAATATTAGGTTAGGTGAGGTTTTGTTTTTTTTTTCACGACCTTAAGATTATGGGTTAGGTTAGGTTAAAATTTTGTTGCACTCGAAGAATTATTAGATTTACTTTTAGTTACAAGATAGTCATTCAGTAAAACAGTTAAGCTTTAAAGATCTAACAGTATAGTAGAGGTATAATTAATTTATTTGATGAGCAAATTTAGTATGCAATTCAGTATTTTTGGTGGTAATTTCGAACATTTTAATTGAAAAAAGAAAATTTACAGTTAAAATATTAAATACTACCTGTTTCAAACCATGCTAGAGGACCATAATTATGAGCACCATTCCACGACGCGCAGCGATCTACTGAGTAGCATCCACAGCAGTATGGCTCAGGAAATTTTTAATATAAACTTCTAAAGTTAATTATTGTTTGCAGTGACCTCGATAAAAGACGGACCAGTAAAAGGCTGGCTGGACAACTGGTTTGGAGCTAGTGGCATTTTGTTTTATATAAACGAAGGTGCTATCAGGGTTTTGCATGGTGAAGGAAACAATACTATAGACTTTACACCAGTGGACTACGTTTCTAATTTGAGTATCATATCAGCTTTGAGAGCTAAAGAGTAAGTTTAGCTATTTGATTGTCTGTATTTCAGTCAAAACCGATCAATTTTATAAGTAGGTAGGATGTCATTTTTGCGTGCATTTTTTTCTATATTTGATAGACCGACGTTTGACCACTACTTCGCCTGGTGGTAAGCGATGATGCGGTCTCCGATAAGCACTCCGATAAGTACTCCGCGCATGTCGTCCCATAAGCAACCTATTCACTCGCTTTTTAGTCAATGGTTTTAAAGTACCTTATATAAAGTAGGGCAGTAATACTTGTCTACCTTATGTGCTATTACTTGTTTTTGTGTACATTAAAGCTAAATAAAGCAATATTTTATTATTTCCCATTAACCACATTACACCGAAGCTACGGACATAAAGAAGGGATAGCGAGAGAGAAAGAGATATTATATCTGACTTGATGTCTGTAAATGCAGGTGTCCCTCAAGGCTGCGTGCTATCGCCAACATTGTTCCTCCTCCATATCAATGACATGCTGCAAATCAGGGGCATTCATTGTTATGCGGATGACAGCACAGGCGATGCCTACTACACCGGCCGCGCTAACATTTCTCGGGAAAACGTCATAGAGAGCCGAAACAGACTCGTGTCTGAAATCGAGACCTCTTTAGGGAGAATCTCTGATTGGGGTGGACTTAATTTGGTCCAATTTAACCCCACTAAGACACAAGTCTGCGTGTTTACCGCTAAGAAACTGCCGTTGGTCGTCTCTCCTCAGTTTCAAAGCACCCCCCTAACTGCCTCAGCCGGTATTGGAATACTTGGTGTCAATATTTCGAGCGACGTCCAGTTTTGCGGTCATTTAGAGGATAAGGCCAAATTAGCCTCGAGGAAGCTTGGTGTGCTCAATAGATCGAGGCAGTATTTCACCCCGACCCACCGCCTGCTTCTATATAAGGCACAGGTGCGGCCCCACATGGAATACTGTTCTCATCTTTGGGCGGGGGCACCCCAGTACCAGCTTCTTCCTCTGGACCGCATTCAGCGGCGTGCCGTTCGGATTGTTGGATGTCCGGATGTTTCAAACCGGCTCGACACTTTGGCAATGCGTAGAGATGTAGCTTCATTGTGCATTTTCTACCGCTTATACCACGGGGAGTGCTCTGAGGAATTGTTTGACCTGATACCTGCCGCATCTTTTCGCCATCGACCCTCACGACAGCATATGCATCCCCATCATATAGATGGTTGGCAGGCCACAACTGTGCGGTTCTCACGTAGCTTCCTGCCTCGCACAGCAAAACTGTGGAATGATCTGTCGTCGGCGGTATTTCCGAACCGATACGACCTTCAAACCTTCAAGGGAAGAGCGTACTCCTTTTTAAAGGGCCGGCAACGCACCTGTGACTCTTCTGGTGTTGCGGGTGTCCATGGGCGGCGCTGATCGCTTACCATCAGGTGATCCGTCTGCTCGTTTGCCTCCTATTCCATAAAAAAAAAATATAAAAGCCAAACTCAAAGTCGAAGTTTTGCGATGTATTTGCATTTTTGAATTATGAATAAATGTTTATTAGGTTAAAGATAAAGTCAAAGTCAAACTAAAAGTAAAAACCAAACTCAACGTCAAAGTCAAAGTCACATTCACAGTTACAGTCATGGTCAAAGTCAAAGTCTTTTGCTTTTTACGTTACCCCACACTAGGATTTTCTCCTATGTCGTGGATACGCTTACAAACATAAAATTTCATATACACATGACACCCAGACCCGAAACAACAATTTTTGGACCCGTTGCACGGTAGCCATTTGCCCAGCCATCGCGCTAACCGTGCATGCAGTAATAAGTATCTATGGACATTATGTGTTGCAGATCCAATGAAGTACAAGTGTTTAACAGCACATCATCATCAGATAATCCAGTAAATTGGGATACAATCTATAAGAAAATGAAGGAGGAAAAAACATTGTCTGGGAAAAGTAAGCATTATAATAATATAACATTCTTCATTTTGTAGGCAGAGGTGCTCATTACGGCACTTAATGCCACTGTACAATATAACACCCACTTTTCTCTATTTATGTTATGAGTTCTATGTAATAGGGGGTGAGCCTATTGCCATATACCGGGCACATTTCCAGACTCCGTGCTATCGCTGCGATTTTTTTTAAACCCAGTAATCGAAACCCCTTACCGGCAGTCGCACTTGCGACCATTCGGCCAACGAGACAGCATTTTAATAATATTATCTGCAATTATACTGACTTATACATATGATAACTATCGGTTAATAAAGGTCGTGGTGGCCCAGAGGTTTAAGACGCCCTATTCTCATGCACGAGAATGTATACGTAAAATTAAGTAAAACATTTAGTTTTTCTTTCGTCATAACTTTTGCTCTTGCATCACTCACTATATTTTTTTCTCTTTTCAGATAAATTTCCGTATTTAAGTTTGACATATGTGAATTCAAAACTGGGTCTGCAAATGGGAACCTTTTTCCTACAGATAACTCCTGCTGTTTTGGCTGACTTATGGTTGAAAATTAAAGGCAAAGACCCTAAGTAAGTATTACAGTAATTTTAACTATATTTTATCATGAACATTATTAATAGCAGGAGAAAGTCCAGGGCTGACATATTGGCATCCTCTACATAATTGGGATGATGACGGGGTATGAAAATTAAAAATCTAATTAGTCCGTAAGTTAGGTAATGAAAAATATAAGACAATACTTTGACGAATCAAAGTTTAGGAGTGGGGGTTAAAACGTCATTTCTACGTATAAAATGTACATAGAAGTGACCTCACGCGATTTCGACTACTTCGAATACTTTCGACGATATATTGATTTGATTTCATTTCAAATCAATATATCGTCGAAAGTATTAGTTTCCGTAAGAAAATAAAAAATACGTGTCTAATGATTTGAAATAATCTACCAGACTGACATTAAAATAAAAATTAGGCATCTACCCTATTAGGTAAATCATAATCACCAATTTTGGCAAACTTGGTGAGCTGAGTTTAGGGTTTTGTCAGAGTTTACTGTTGTGCTGTCTCTCTCATACGTGTATTCAGTTTTTAATAATAATAATAGACCACCCAATCGATTTCGATCAGGGTAGTAAGTCTAATTAGACTTGTCCACTACGCAGGAGATATTATAGTGCACAAGTCGTTCGCAAACACAAGTGCATTCTTCCCTTATTCTCTGAACCCGATGGGAGGGCAGACCGACACGACTGGAGAGATATCAGGCGCAGGACCAACAGTTTTACGTGCTTTCTGCACTGTTGAAGTAAAACAGCTCTTATAACAATCATGAGAAGAGTAGAAATAGCGACTATTGTTACTATGCGACAAAATTATAAGATGTACTTTAAAATTCCAGGTACCTCAAAATAGTATCACATGCCATCGCCGTCCGAAACGCTTATGAGTACTTTACCTCGAATATGTTCGTCATGAGATCTGACAGGACAAGGGAGCTGCACTCCTCACTGTCTCCCGAAGACAGGGAGGAGTTCCAATGTGACCCCACCCAGATTAGATGGCCAGAGTACTTGAAAGATAATATGCATGGAATCTATAAGTATTTGAAACCTCCTAAAATGACATAGAAGAAGCAATGAAAAGAAGAAAGAAGGAATTTATACTTAATTTCAGTTAACACCAGGAATAATGTAGCAATTAAACGAAGTTTACAAATAAAAAAGATCTGTATACAAAATAAGACACAAAAATTAATAAATAATATAGTAAACAGTCAATCAATACGGAAAACAAAATTTGAAACAACTTTAGATAATAATTAATCTGTGTTTGAGTAATAAAATGTGCTACTGTTTATTGTTTTTTTTTTTGGACTTACAAATCTGAAAATCTTTAAAAGTAATTACTACTTATATGGTCTGACCCAAAAAAGAACCCCGTCTGTATCTTATACCCAGTTACTGAAAGCACTTTATTATAACCTAAAGTAAAAAAAGGTATTAGGACTTTTATTTAATTCCTATCCACAACCGCATTGAGAGAAATGTAGCAAAATGGTCGATAAAAAGAGGTTTTCTTTCATCAGCTCTGAGTACCATTAGGTGTGTATGTACTATTGAACAGGGCCTTAAATTGGTGTAGCCTAAAGCCATTTCTTATGTCTTCAAAAACGACAATTATATGACAAACGACCGACATTTTTTATTAATATCCAAAAACGAAATTGGTTAAATTAAGGAATTTCCAAATTTCTTTTTGTTATTGTATTTATTGAGTTAGCAACAACGTACCTGTTTTATCGACCAAATTGGCGATATCTTAAAGAAGGGCCAAATTTAAAATAACTTTAACCAACGAGCATGCATGAAAAGAGTAATGTCAAAGTCAAAGTCAAAATCATTTATTTCAATTAGACCAGAAAGGCACTTTAAACGTCAACAATAAAATTAAAAGTGAAGCTATTTGCTCATTCCAAGGTGTAGATTCCTATGGAGAAGTACGAGCAAGAAACTCCATAGGTTACTCTTTTTCAATCAGGTTCACAATACAATTCTCTAGTTACATAGTTTGCTGTATGGATTGTGCGAGAACAATGTAACACTAAAATCTAGTCAAATTGATCGAAAAAGAAAATAACCTTAAAGACAATAAATAATAGTCTGGAGCTGACCAGTCCCAGTTGACGGCGCCCGTTCACAAACATGACACGTACACTAGCACCGCCCAACTCAACGATATAGTAGGGAATCGAGCGATCCACTGCACGCGCCACCGCCTATGAGACCTTTGAGTGAACATGACAACTCCAAACTGACACAAACGCATTCTACTAGTCTAATTTAATATTAAGTATTACAGGGCTCTCACATTCACAATGGTTATAATGACTTTAAGGAAGCGAAAGAGGTATATACCTATACAAATTATAGCAATTGGCGTTCAAAAGGACTATTCTTTGCCTATCCACCCCAATAGTCCTTGCCTATTCAACTTCATGAGTTGAAGAGTTGAGTCCACATTTTTTATAGCATTGTTTTTAGTGTCTATCATGTCTAATAAAAAGATAGGTTTCTATATAATATACATATAAGTTCTATACAAAATAGAACCAGGAACCAGACTACATAGGTATAGCCAGCGCACTAACCTACTCCAATGTATAAACTATTGCCATTCAACTTCATATCTAAATCATAGAGATAAATATCTAATAACAAAAATGACAGAAAAGAGTATATTAACCTGGTCCACTGTACTTTATTTATTCATCATAATCAGAAGTCGTATCATACTGTGGACTGATCGTGAAATCTACCAAAAGTTGGATCACTTTTAAAAATTAACCTCGTGTTTGTTATCTACCAGCGCCTACTAAAATTTTTATTCCTAGCTCAATCAGTAATGTTCCTATCGAGTGGGAGTTAAAATCAGGCAAATTGGGGTCCATTGAAACGATTAATTTGATTTCAATTGGTGCGTTAATAATTCAACTCGTTTAGAGCGCTAGATAGTTCGATAAAGGCGTGATTTACCAAACATTTTGATTCATAACTGGAAAATAAATATAATTCATTCTTGCTTTTGGTAAAAATATAAATTGTGATTTTTTTCTACTATGACTTGACCTGACTAAATTGCCTATTTCCCCTAGATGGGGCAGAGAGCGTCCGCATAAGTTCTCCATCTCGATTGGTCTTGAGCTTCACGCTTCATCTCGCTCCACATCATTTCGATACCTACCGCTTCGGTGGCAAACCCAGCAAACCTGGCGGCATACTGTGGTCGGTACGCCCCCTAGGTTTTCCACGCTTCCAGTTCCCCCATTTTTTTTGAAGGGGGAAAATCATCCAATAACTTCTCCCACCCGGGTGAGGCGCGAGGGAGTGTCAGACTCTTACTGACTAAAATCCACCCCGTTCTCCTGGGGATTCTAATTTCCTACTATATAAAGAGTTAATCTTTTGCCTTCAATCAACTATTATTTCAATCCTTTAAGTTTAAGAAAATCTTTCCTTAGAAATTGAAATGAAAACTACTAAATCAGACTACTAAAGAATTTTAAAGCTACAACATCTCTTCATTACAGATACGAAAACTTGTCTAAAACCTCAAGCTAGACTAGTTTAAATCTAATTAGCGTCTAACTTTATAATCATGTCTGTTCTCGTCCTAACAAAATTTTCGCGGCAAATGGAATGTCACGAACATTGTGAACTAACTCGAGCGATGTCCAACGCATCCATTTTAGAAATGTCAGCCTTATTCTGGTGTTCATTAGCTTTAATTTTGATATTTCTCTAAAAACTTCTAAAAAATCCTGGTTTGCAGACATAGTAGAAAATATATTGTAACTGCGCATAATTAAGGTCTGGGCACATTCGTTTCAATGAGTTCGGTTTCCTAACAAAGCTGCTTGCAGAAGTCAGTTTAACCATAAATCGAGTATTCAGAATACGGCCATATTCACTACTCCTCTGAATTAAATTCATCCTCGTTGAGTGAGCACACGTGCTGAAGGGCCGCTTTGTCATACTTTAACTAGTGATTTTAATTGAGACTATGCTTGTTGGAAACCACCAAATATTAAACTCGATCGGGAACAGGATATGTTCGGTTATTGGTCGAATGGATTAGGAAATGACAGGGATAGTTTGTGGTGAACGACTTTTTATGTTAGCAGGAAGATTACTCTGGCAGTCAATTGTTATTTTTTATATCTATATTTGATGGACCGTCATTTGACCACTATCTTGCCTGATGGTAAGCGATGTTACGGTCTACGATGAAGTATATCGCGTCGTCCGATAAGCAACCTATTCACTCGGGCCTTGAAGACACCCAGATATCTTCAGGAATCACCCTTCAGGAAATACAGACTCTGGCAAAGAATTCTACTCCCAAATTAAGATGGTTTTTTCCTCAGTCATGAGATAGGCCACGTGCCATAAAGCATAACGAAGGATGTCTGCTCCTAACATTGACAGATGGCCTAATAAAGGTCATAATAAAAGTAAAATGCAATCGACCGATCTGAAAGTCTTTGGAGTAGTCCATGTTCCACAGTGGACTCCATGTGGTTGATATTTGGTTTACGTTAGGTCTACCTACGCTTTGTCTTTAGATTCATCATCATCATCATCGTACCAGCCACAGGACGTCCACTGCTGAACATAGGCTAATGACTTCCAGATATGCCGGTTGGAAGCGAGCAGCATACCAGCCTGTCTTTAGGTTGCGTTAAAAATCATTATGATACGCCAACCATTGTTTATTTATTTTACTTTACGTGTACAATAAGTAGGCACCATAAAAACATAAAAAAATCAAAATGAAATATAACTAACAATGGGCAGTCTAATCGCAGAATGCGATTTTTTATAGACAACCTTTGTATGGAGTCAGTAATTAGGAGTTAGGAAAAAAGGAGGGCGATAATAATCAAACTAACACATACATAATTATACTATCTACACACACAAATACATACGATAAAATAATACATGTGTGTGAGTGTGTGTGTGTGTGTGTGAACTATCCTTCAGGGATATCCAAAAATATTTTAAAACAAATTAATCTTCAACCACGAATTACTAAAATAAACACAGTGGTATAAAACTATCCACATTCGATATTCTGGCAAAGACTAGGTGTGTTCGAATCCTGAACTAATCACGTTCAGCAAATATTATCTCAGTGTCCGAAGTTTGGGTGGCACCGTATTTCGGCCGCTATCCTACATTAGTATGCAGTGGTATTGACGAATTAGTAGTGAGTGGGTTAAGTAGAATTCTTAATGGGATTTATTTTTCTTAATATCTTCTAACCTGAAGAGTCTAGATGATTAATTGAATTTCTTTAAAACAATGAGATTTTTTTATGGAATAGGAGGCAAACGAGCAGAGAAATCACCTGATGGTAAGCGATCAGCGGCGCCCATGGACACCCGCAACACTAGTGGAGTCACAGGTGCGTTATCATGCCTGTTAAAAAAGAGTATGCTCTTTTCTAGTAGGATAACTGTTTCTTTTAAGCTACCTACAATGTATATTAGCGTCATCATTGTATTAGTCGCAATTATATTGCTGGTTAACTCGTCAAGTACCGTCATTATAGACACAATTATAGAACAATAGGTTGCGGTCACCGGTGACCGCTTGGTGTTTGACAGTTTAAAGAATAATCAGGTTAATGAATTTTAAATCTCAAATAGAACGTAGTTGGGAACGATACTCATAGTTTTGTAAAATATTTTTCAACAACATTGTAGTACTTGGCTCGTTGGCCGAGTGGTCGCAAGGGCGACTGCCAGGCAAGGCGTCTCGGGTTCGATCGCCAGGTCGGGCAGGTTATTCCTGGTTTTTTTTTAAATCTCGGTAGAAGCACGGAGTCTGGACATGTGCCCGGTATATGACAATAGGTTCACCCCTTATTACATTGGACTCATAACATATAGATAAATGTAAGTGGAATAAATAAATAAAAATTTAAAAGTGGGTTTTACATTGTACCGTGCATTAAGTAGTACCACAATGCCTCTGCCTACCATAAAAGGCGTGATGTTGTGTGCTAGTGCGGCTGTCATTTAAAGGAGTCAGGACTCAATGCTCGGGGTCGTGTGAAGTGTAACTGGTTTTTTTTTTAAACTCGGACCTAATGACCGGGCACTATAACTTTATACCTTTACCTATCTCTTTGCAGATTTAAAGCATTACATTTTTATTTTGTACAGAATAAAACATCATCTAGATACAATTTTAAACTAAAACTAATCTCCTGAACAAGACACAACGACCTCATTCCCTTCCAGTTTCCATAACGATGGTGTCACGATAGGCTTGATGATAAACCCATAAAAATAGGGGCATGTCACTGGCAACCGTTTGAGATGGGTCGCCAGCCATAATTTAAGTACCAAAATGGATCTCTTATAAAGCCAGGGAAATGTATTGTAATGATAATTTTATAAGATAAATTGCTCACTATGGAAGGTAAGGATAGTAGTAGTTTCCGTTTTTTTAGTTTTGTTGTGAAAGTGTAGGTACTAGTTAATTTTTTTTAAAGGCCAATGTTGAAGCAATTATTTAGAATAGCATTTTTTAAAGTCAAACACAGTCATACATTTTATAGTAATATGTTTGTCAGTAAGTATGTGTAAGTGCAAATAATGGCTGTTTCTACATTAAAGCGATTTATGATTTAACTAGCGACCCGCCCCGGCTTCGCACGGGTGCAATATGCATGTATTATACATACAAACCTTCCTTAAGAATCACTCTATCTATTAAAAAAAACCGCATCTAAATCCGTTGCGTAGTTTTAAAGATCTAAGCATACATACGGACATACAGCGAAAGCGACTTTGTTTTATACTATGTATTGATGACAAACCTACTGAGAAGTGCTGAAAATGTGCCGCGACTCGAGCTATCGCGATCGGGTCACGGGATTTTAGCTGAGCACTGGCCTTTTTGCACCGTGTACATTGTTTTGTATGTTTTTTTTTAACTATTTTTCGTATTTTTTATTTCATTTCTGTAACGGTGCAAATAAACTATTATTTTTGTTTCTTTCCTTCTTTCTTTCTGAAATGTTTGACTATCTTACAGTCTTGCCAGGCTTATTAGTGTAGCTACCTCGCAAGGAGTGGCAAATGCGATAGTCATCACATATTCTTAATTTGAATAATAACTTCAAAATACTTTTAACTCGTCGAGTACCAGTTTTGTAGACACAATTATAGAACAATAGGTTGCGGTCACCGGTGACCGCTTGGTGTTTGACAGTTTAAGGCAGTATTTGGAACTAAATCAAAACAAAAATAAGAGGAAAATGAAACCTTCTTACTTAGATCAAACTAATCCTTAGCCTCAGATCAAAGCTTTTCCTTCTAATTAAGTTACTGCAAAATTACCAAGTTGTAATCTAATTAGCATTATTTGAAATCTGAACAAAGTTGCTTCATTATTATACTTAATAAGTGATCAATGGATTCTTTTAACAAAGGCAACATTATTATAATTATTATTTTCCGCTTTGACTTGAATTGGGAATTAATTTATTACAGTTAACTAGAACGAAAGCCATGCTTTAGCACGAATGGGCCGGCTCGACCGGAGTGATACCACGGCTCCACTGAATACTGTCGTGAAACGTATGCATTGTGTCTCGTTATGTGTGACTGAGGTTACCGGAGGCCCAACACCGAATACCCAACTAATTCAGCATGAGTTTAAGGTTATTTCGGGATTAATTAACCTTAAGGTTAATAGGCCGGTAACGCATTTGTAGGTAACACCTCTGGTGTTTCGGGAGTCCATAGGCGACGCCGATCGCTTACCATGAAGTGATCCGTCTGCTCGTTTACCGGCTTATTAAATAAAAAAAGGATTTCAAAATGATTATTGAATTATTATCATATTTATATTTCCAACATCTGTTTTTGATCAATGTGTGTTAAGTAAAGTGTTCGCCACCCAAGAGGATGCTGAAGAAAATTAAAGCGTGGACTACAATATCCGATCCTAATCCTATAGCTCTAGATCGATCCAAGTATTTATCCGATCTGAATTTTGGATTAAGATATATTCAAGAAAGAAAAAGATATAAGGTACTGTTTCACATGCTAATTTAAAGCACGAACCATACTTCAATTGAGCAGTTGTCACTTCGTGGCATGTGTGTCGGAATGAGCTCAAAATTAGCATGCTCAATGCTCATCTCGGGCATGTCTGCAAATACACAAGCGTTCGATCTTTGAATATTTTCGAGCATGACCAATACAACACCAAAAGCATAGTATTTTAAATCGTGTCTGTGTACTTTAATTTTAATTTAATAATTTAATTTTATTTGATTAAATAAGTTAGTAAATTAATTTTAATAATTAATTTAACTGTAATTTTGATCGTCTGATACAAGGATCAAATTCATTTCCTAAAAGGTCATTAGCATTGTAACAATGAATATGGTACTGTACCCGAGCACCAGATGATAGTCGTCACAATCTTTTATCTTGAACGGACGTAGACATCCTTATAATGAACTGTTTTAACTCAATTAGGTATACAATACTGCATTATGGGTTGGATGGTCGTTTATAATAATAATTTAAATAATATGTATATAAAAATGTGACTGTGGATTACAGTGTATCAGATTCGATTCTTACAATTGGGTAGTTTTCAGGGCATCAAAATTAAAAATCTAATTAGTCCGTCAGTTAGGTAATGAAAAAATATTAGCCACGTATTTTTTTATTTTATCGTATTAAAAAGGGTTATAATAATTTGCGGGAATCGAAAATATTTTATTTGAATCAAACCCACGACATATTACTTACCAACCCATTGTCTAGCCACTGCGCCAACAGTAATTTAATAATACGAGTACAGAAGTGGGTGTCAAATTAAGTCCCACCATTTCGGAGAATTATCAGAGTGACATCATGCCCTTATCATTAGGATAGACATTCACTATCATATTTTTTGTCCTACCTCACTGTTAATCCCTAGTTCTGAATTTTATGTATATTTTTTAACAAACATTCCGGTTTGATATCATTATGTCGGCTTTCTGTGTTTGTCAATGAACCTATATTATTATTATTATTAATCGACTTCAAAAAAGGGAGGTTCTCAATATACAGTACCCGTATGTAGGTAGGCATGTATCTAAGTGTGTGCGCAATTATCTCGCTCAATAATACTATGTCACTGAGACTGCCACAATTTGCGATCAGTTAGGTACCATTATTATGGGTATTCATTAGGTTGACAAGTTAGTTTTATAACTTAAGTTACAAAAGTAACTGAAGGCACATAATTATGTAATTACTTCACTCCATCTCTGGGAAAATATGATAAATGAATATGATATTGATGAGTCACGCACTTTGTTTTTACTCTTTAATAACAAAGTCTGTAAATGAAGTCTATAAATGGTAATATGATATCCGATGAACACTAAAAATAATATTGTATTTCATTTTTTAAATTATGTACACTATTACCAATAATTCACTTTTCGTCAGCACTTTTGATTACTAGCAGCCTGCTCCAGCTTTACTCGAGTGTTCTTAAAGTTACCAGTGAATCTATATAAATAAAAATGAATTTCCGTACATTATCCTCGCTAAAACTAGAGAACGGCTGAACCGATTTGCCTAATTTTAGCCTTGAAATGTTCTTGAAAGTCCAAGTAAGGTTTAATAGTTTGCCAGGTCAGGTAGTATGTATATTAAATTTTTCATTAGTACAAACTGTGTCCCGCCAATAATGAAAATAAGAAATGAAATCTGTATTCATTTCAATAAGGTGCAGCCGTTCAAAAATTATGTGCGTACAAACATTATGGAAGGAGCCATGCTTCGGCACGAATGGGCCAGCTCGACGGAAGTGATACCACGGCCTCACAGAAAACCGACGTGAAGCAACGATTCCGTTGTGTTTCGTCGTGTCAGTGAGGTTACCGGAGGCCTAATTACCCTCCCCTTCCCCAATCTCCCCAACTCCTGAATCCCCAACGATCCTCAAACTCCTAATCCCCAAAAGGCCGGTAACCCATTTGTAATGCCTCTGGTGTTCCAGGTGTCCATGGGCGACGCCGATTGCTTATCATCAGGTGATTCGTCTGTACGTTTACCGGCTTATACCATAAAAAAACAAGCTAATTAAGAAATATGTACTTACCTATTTGCATACACATAATACAATACACACAATAATTTTCTATTTTTGTAATATGCAATTTCAAACTGTAGTATAGATTCGAGATATCAGAAGCAGGATCATTAGTTAAAACGATCCTTATAAACGATAAATCATATCACGTTGTACCCACTGATAACAAAACTGTTATAATGACAAGAGAATGACCATTTAATACTGAACCCTATTCTCAACAACAATTCGTTCGTCGTGTAGGTACATGTAAATGTTTACCGCATTCATTGATATGAGTTTTAACTAAAAACACGATATGTTTGTTTAAAGTTACTTATTTTAATTAAAAACACGATATTTGTGTTAAATTTATACCCGATTATATTTTATAGTTAGAGGAAAATGCGAAATTTATTTAACGGTATTATTATTTATTTAAATGTAAGGAAGTATTTTTGTTAATATTATTCTTATTTGTTTGTGGCGGGATTATTTAATAATCAGCAATATTGTGCAGTGTGTAGTATAAATACACTATGTAGTCATATTTAAGTGCGATTCAAGTGTATTTAGGTATTTAGTCAAAGGATAAAATATCAAAATGTTTGCATTTAAAGTCGTAAATAGTACATGGACAGTTGTGGAGTTCAGTATTATTGTTGTTGTCATGTGAAGCAGGACTTAATACAATTCTAATGTGACTGTGTAAGTGACGGTATTTTTGCGCGAAAAATTTACAGGACAAATTGTTTTTACTTGGTAAGTTAATTTGTTTAATTCCTTTAATTGGTTTTATTTCTGTGTTATTACCTAAGTTCATGCAGTAAAGCTTTACTTAAACATTAGTATTGAAATTACTATGATTTTTTTAATTTATCAGCTATTTGAGATGCATTTTGTGTTCAATGTTAGTTCATTTTTATTACGAATTAGCAAAAAAAATTAGAATACTTTTAATAAGTCAATTTTTAAACATGTTTCATAAATTCTTTTTTAAATTACATAACGATGTTGAATATATTTTATTTTAGGTATTTTATTTTTATATTTAGAAAACTTACAGCTAAAATTGACAATAATTGATAGGTATATATATAACTATGATTAAATTAAAGCCAATTAGAAGTTTTCACATATACATATTATATTATAATTTGCTAAGAGTAACATATTGTTCTCTATTCGACATTCTTTTCATTTAAATAAAGGTCTGAATAGGTATAAATATGTAAAAAAGAAGTAAAGGAGCCTCAAATAAAGTTCTCTATTTCAGAAATTAACCAAAATGGCTAAAGAATCAGTATTGTCTGTGGTATTAGTATTATTTATTCATCTTTCTACATCAAGTCATGTGTTCCATGAGAAGACCAGTATAACATTCCGACCAGAATACGACGCCGAATATTTTGGTTATTCCATCATTTTAAGTCCAGACGGGTGAGTTGACTATTTTATAGCATTATTATTCCAGCTCAATAGTTTTAATGTTTAGTGCAACCACTACTTTTAATATTGCAAAATGTATATTGCATAATTAACATAACATAAAATCACGCCTTTTACCCCCAAAGGGGTAGGCAGAGGTGTACATTACGGCACTTAATGCCACTGAACAATGTAACACCCACTTTTCACTATTTATGTTATGAGTCCCGTGTAATAGGGGGTGAGCCTATTGCCATATACCGGGCACAATTTCAGACTCCGTGCTACTACTAAGATTTTTTGAAAAAGCCTATTAATACTTTGCCCGACCCTGAAATTGAACCTGAGACCCCTTGCCCGGCAGTCGCAATTGCGACCACTCGCCCAACGAGGCAGTCATTGGATAACTATATCTTCTTATTCATTTCGTTACGGGATTCTAAGACATTTATCTACGTCTCTGGAACGCACTGGATTTCAGTGTTCCGGTGTTTTCATGGTTGTATCTCCAGTAGATCCTGGTTTACAAAATTGCAGCTGTTTTGGGAGGATGGGGTGGGCTTGTCCAAACTTATTGTTAGTCTTGCCTTTAAAGTACTTTAACTAAGCAGTTTAATATTATCAGTCCAACACCGCATTTTTAACTTTTAAAACATTTTCTTCATCAAATATCGTCTAAGTGGCGACTGCTAACCAAAGACTTCTTCTCACACGGAAAACGTTTGAATATAATTCACCAAAGCTCGCCCAATGCAAATTGGCGATTTGAAACTTATAATTAGAATTTATAAGCCAAGGTCTACTCACGATGTTTTCCTTCATTATATACAATAATATGTATGTACAATGGCATTAAGTGGCATAATGTGCACCTCTGCCTTCCTTTTCGGCGATAAAAGGCGTGATGTTATCGTATCTTATGTTTTCATTCACCGTTTCTGAGTGGTGTCTAGCTTAGAAGGTATTATGTACGTTAATCCGAAAAGTCACATTGGTGTTTGCCGTTTGTCGTTGGTAGGTTTCGAACCAGCACTCTCATGACTTGAATGAGCAGGTGCTTTAAACCTCCACTACGACTCATTTGAAAAAATACAATAGTATGACTGTTTGCATCCTTGAAAAATTGCATTATTTCACATGGCTCCAGTTTGGTTGCCCTGTGCAGTTATTTTTTTAGTTTAGACACATTTATGTATTTGATAGGCCGACGTTTGACCACTATCTCGCCTGGTGGTAAGCGATGATGCGGTCAACGATGGAACACGTCGTCCCACAAGCAACCTATTCACTCGGGCCTTGAAGGCACCCAAGTCATACCCTTCAGGAAATACAGATTCTGGCAAAGAATTCCACTCCTTAGCAGTACACACAAAGAAGCTTAATACGAAGCGCTTCGTGCTTATGGGTCATCATCACATCTACCACAAATCGGTATCACTTCGCAGATTGTCTTCTCCTACGATGGTGGAAAGGATTAGGGAGGATCAAGTTGTGGAATTCCCCTGCTCACTCACCTTACTGTGATTGATGTGATAATAGTATTTAGTAGGAGGATGCAGTCTGGATTTGTTCGATATTTGGTACACAACAACCGATTCGTTGTTAAAGTGGTTGGATTCGATTCTCGATTGTGTGGTACCGTACCTATCTTGGGGCATACTCTTGAATCCAATTCCGATTGATTGACATAGGTATTGTGCAATTTCGTACTCTTGAGTAGCAACACTAGCGCCCGTTGCATCCGTATTGCGTGGATATTGAGTGAACTAAATAGTATTGAGTATGGCTTTATATTTCGTACTCTGAATGCTATTTTAACAGCTACGATAGTTGTATAGTTTTGATATTTAATAGTTAATTGAATTGGTTTCAAGAGTAGACCTTTATCGGATGTGTATTATTTATTTGTATTGTAACTTTCGTGAGACATGCCTATTGAATAAATTATTATGTTTCGGCTTTATGTTTGTAAATGCACTTAAGTTTTTTTTTATTACAGTCTACTAGTTGGTGCTCCTAAAGCTAAAGAACTCAAAGAGTCCTCCACGGGAATCAAAACAGGAATGGTATTTAATTGTTCACTAGTCAACTTGGATGTGAAGCTTGGGTCTTGTACTGCTGTAAAGCGATCTGGAAGATCAGGTAATGTACAACCATAAAGTTTTTCTTTTTTTATAGCGTAAGCCGGTAAACGAGAAGACGGATCACCTGATGGTAAGCAATCGGCGCCGCCCATGGACACCCAAAACACCAAGGCGTTACAAGTGCGTTATCGGCCTTTTGGGAATCGGGAATTTAAGGAGGATTCGGGGATTCGGGAGACTAGGGAGGGGGGTAATTGGGCCTCCGGTAACCTCACTCACACGACGAAACACAACGCAAGCGTTGTTTCACGTCAGTTTTCTGTGAGGCCGTGGTATCACTCCGGTTACTACCGGTAAACTGTTAGTCGTACGAGTCATAATATGCAATTCTTTACGTAGGTATGAGTAATAATATATATATAATCTGTGGCGGGTGTAAGACTAATAATTTTAAAATAAACAAAAGTCCCTTCTATGTAATAATCTGTTTAGGTATTATTTTAACGGAAATAAAACATTCCTATTGTCCCTATATACATATTATGAATCACCGTAATAATAAAACAATTAATTTTAATCAATAATTGTTATTTGTTTAATAAAACTCAATAACAAAATAAAATGGTCAGTCATGACTAGTTCGCCCTTTATCTAACTAAATGGTGGTTCATTTGTTCTATTTATATCGACTATTGATAAGAAGGACGAGTATAATTACTAGTAGCTAATTAGCTTAACTTAACAAATTATAAATAGGTATTTGTTGTTCATAACTGCATGGGACGCAATGGATGATAAATATATTATATTTATCAATTTCCACTAATCAGATACCGTTCCGAATATGTGCTATTAGAATTTTCATAGAACGAAAATCAAAGGTTTCGTAGTAAGTTTATATTATTTTTTTTAAACCAAATGTTGCCCCACACTAGGATTTTCTTCTGTGTCGTGGGTAGGTTTACAAACATACAAGTTCACATATACATGACACCCAGAACTGGAACAACAATCTGTTGATCCCACAAAGAGTTGTTCCCACAAAGAGTTGCGGGAATCGTACCCGCGACACGTTGAGCGCTAGCCAGTTGCCCAGCCACTGTGCCAACCGTGCAGTCTGGTGTTTCGCTTACCCCTTATAAACTGGTGATTAAACCGTGTCATTAATTTATATGTCCACCTCTTCTCCCTTTTCGGGGATTAAAAGTTGTGACGTTATGCTACGTTTCGTTAAGATCAAATTTTAATTATAAATATATATAGTTTTCATATCAGCACCAAAAATAGTCAACGAAATAATATAAATTGCTAACAAACAATGTGCAATTTTATTCCATAACATTGTGTCAGCATTTTATCAAATTATGTACATAACATCACGCCTTTTATCCGCGAAGGGGTAGGCAGAGGTGCACATTATACCACTGTAGAATGTAACACCCACTTTTCACTATTTATGTTATGAGTCCCATGTAATAGGGGGCGAGCCTATTGCCATATACTGGGCACAATTCCAGACTCCGTGTTACTACTGAGAGTATTAAAACCCAGTAATACTTTGCCCGACCCGGGAATCGAACCCGAGACCTCTTGCCCGGCAGTCGCACTTACGACCACTCGGCCAACGAGGCAGTCAAATTATGTATAATATAATATATGTATTTTAATAATAATGTATTACGTCACCTATAGGTACATACATGTAGATAAGTACCTATATAGGTAGTAGTTTCTATTCTGGTCTTTATTGTACGGAACCTCGTGCCGTGTCAAATGCTCTTTATTACTTATTAGTTAATAATACGTATATGTTTGGATATAGTTTATATTAATAACTTAACAATGTTTAATAACACTATATAGAGGTAAATAAGTTAACATAACATCACGCCTTTAGTAGGTAGGCAGAGGTAGTACACATTACAACGCTTAATGTCACTGTAGAGGTATAACGTAACACCCACTATTTACTATTTATGTTATGAGTCCCGTGTAATAGGGGGTGAGCCTATTGTCATATGTCGGGCACAATTCCAGAGTCCGTGCTACTACTGAGATTTTTTTGAACTGGAGCGCTGGCAACATGTTAGGTTGTCCGCAGCTCCAGAAAGTTGCTATTTTTCTGTACGAGAATATGTTTTTTTTTTTCATACAAGTTCACATATACATCACATCCAGACCCGAAACAACAATTTTTGGATCACACATAGTGTTGTTCCATGCGGGAATCGAACCCGCGACACAGCCGGTTGCCCAGCCACCACACCAACCGTGCAGTCAAATTCGTGTTCAGTAACGCTCTGTGGTTACACTTTTTTTATACAATTTGATGATTTTCAGGTAACGATAACATGCTCAATAGGTTGTTGCCTGGTTTCCTTCGAGATGATATGTGGTATGGAGCATCTATGGTGCTGCTACCTGGAGGACGACTTTTGGTATGTTCCTATGGTATTATTTATTTATTTAATAATTTAGTATTTTATGTACACAATTTAATTTTATGGCACACAAGGCGAACTTAATGCCATATGGCATTCTCTACCAGTCAATCTTAGGGTTTAAGTAGAAAATCAATAAGACACGGAGAATGAACTAACAGCAAAGAAATGTTTTTATCACGTTTTTTAGAATTTTACCCTTTTCTAGTATTTTTTTTGTGTCGTAGGTGCGTTTAGAAACGTAAAAATTCACACTTACATCCGAAATTATGGTTATAAGTCAAAGTCATTTCCAAATTTCATCTCGATTCGATCATAATTATGCGAATAATTTTCAGGTTAATGCCCCAAGATGGACATCCCCTTATGGGACGAAACATTTATTGATGAATGGTGTAAGTTTACTGCAGACAAGGAGAGGAAACCGACCCTTACATTGTTTAAAAGATTATAGTAAGTTTGAGATTATATTTCTAATATGGCTTCATCATCATCATCATCATCATCAAAAAATAAGAAATGATCCTTAATCACTCTGCCGCATTTATTTATGTACTAGTTTCTGATAGCGGTTTCGTCCACGTTCCCGTGGAATAAAAAGTAGCCTATAAACAAACAAACAAATATATTTATTTCCATTTTGTTCACATATATGTACTTAATCTAAGCTTATTATTTAACTATTCTAGGTAGGTTACAATACAATGCCTGTATAGAATTAAATCTGTACCACAGGCTTTGTGGTCGCGTGCATTATACATTAGGATAATATAACTAAGCCTTAACAATATTATTTTTACAGTCACCAAATATTACAAAACCTAAATATGTAGAGGTATGTATACATAAGTTAGGAAACACTAACTTTATACTTACCTATGTGTTACTCCAGATCATAATCTACCTCTGTTTCAAATTTCATTGCAATTCATTCAGCCGTTTTGACGTGAAAGAGTAACAAACATACATACGCACACACATACATCCTCACAAACCTTCGCATTTTTTATTTATAATATCACTAAGAATTTATAACAGTCCCATAAATATCGTTTTCGTATACGTGACGTCACCGTATCGTTTGTTTTGCAATGAATATGAGCCCCGATTGTGACTTGAAACTAGTCTAGTTATCTCAAACAGATACGTAAGTTAACTGTTGCCCGTTGCTTCGTCCGCGAAAAATTTGAGTTTTAACGTAATATTTTTTGATTCAATTTTTAATATAAACGTAGTTACTAAGCTATGTTACTCTTTAGTACATCAGCTAACAGCTAATAAAAGTCCCGTAAAAATCAGTCCATCCGTTTCAAAGATTAGCCTGTAAAGACAAATAGACAGACAGACAAAACATTAAGAAACGATTATTATGAAATATTACGATCGAATGTAAAATTCATATACATATAGGTAGTAAAATGTGGTTATTTAAATATAACAAACGGATACTCCAATTTTATTTATCTCTATAGATTTTCTTATATCTAACAAGAGTTATATATTATCATCTATATATATACTATAATGTTCTAGATCATCAAGCTTACGTCACTCATGGAAGTAGACGAGAGTATGGAGCATATGGTACCCACCTGAATTTCTACGCATATGGTCAAGCTGGAATATCAGCAGCTATTAGCAAGATGAACACAGTTATACTTGGAGCACCTGGTCTTCTACAGTGGACTGGTGAGTTAATACAACCAATTCATTATAGAGGTAGTTTTATTTCGCCAAATGGTGACAGGTGAGAAGAACATAACATAACATCACGCCTTTTTATCCCCGAAGGGGTACTATTTATGTTATGAGTCCCATGTAATAGAGGATGAGCCTATTGCCATATACCGGGCACAATTCCAGACTCCGTGCTACCACTGAGATTTTTGTAAAATCCCAGTAATACTTTGCCCGGCCCGGGAATCAATGAGAAGAAAATTACTAAATTACTCACCATCTCTGTTCTTACCCGCGGATATCGTGAGAGCTGACTACACGTTACGCAAAGAGCAGGGGGCACGCTGACCAACAACAATCTTTGAGAAACCTAAATATTTCAAACTTCATATTTTATTCATTTCTTCATATTTAAAACGTTGCCCCACACTAGGATTGTCTCCTGTGTCGTGGGTGCGTTTACAAACATACAAATTCACATACACATGAAACCCAGACCCGAATTTGTGGATCACACACAGTGTTGTTCCGTGCGGGAATCGAACCCGCGACACGTAGCATGGCAGCCGGTTGCCCAGCCACCGCACCAACCGTGCAGTCACTGGAATACATTATATTATATATTTTATTTAGACAATCGCCACACGCACGAAGCGCTTCGCATCAAGCTTCCTTGTGCGTACTGGTAAGTGAGGCGTGGGTGGAATTCTTCACCAGAGTCTGTGTTTCCTGAAGGGTGTCTTCAAGACCCGAGTGAATAGATTGCTTATGGGTCGACGAGCTCCATCGTAGACCACATCTTCGCTTACCCCCAGGTATATAGTGGGCAAACGGCAGTGCCATCTCATATATAAAAAAACTGGACTTTCTAAGCGAAGAGGTCATGGCAAAATTTCTTATAATAGAGGAGATCCATAGTCCAGTAGATAGACTATGGACTGTTGATGCTATGAAGAAGAGACGGAGTGTATGGACATACGTTCGTCTTCTACAGCGTAGGTTATAATATAACTGGTGAACACCACTTTTAGGTACGTTCTATTTTCAAAAATTGACGTAGCTTCCATTTGTTTTATCTAAATAGATATTATTTCCTTATACATATATTTATTTACGACCTAACTGACGGATATTTACTTTTCATACTCTGTGATCATCCCTATTTAGTGATACGTTACAATTTGCGTACCTTTCCTAATCTAGTGTTATTATAATGGTAATGTTTTTACTTTGCAGGTGGCGTCATAAGTCTATCGTTTTTTCCAAATGATACTGGCACCTACACGAACAAGTTGCCTACAATGAATCCTTACTTCACCATGGACTTGGGACCTGATGAATATTTTGGTAAATATTTACATAACATCATAATATCACGTCTTTTATCCCTGAAGGGGTAGGCAGAGGTGTACATTATGACACTGTACAATGTAACACCCACTTTTCACTATTTTTGTTATGAGTCCCATGTAATTGAGGGGTGAGCCCATTGCCATATACCGGGCACAATTCCTGACTCCGTGCTATTACTGAGAATTTTTTAAAAAACCCAATTTGCCTGACCCGGGAATCGAAACAGAGACCCCATGCCCGGCAGTCACACTTGCGAGCACTCGGCCAACGAGGCAGTGGTAAATATTTATTTATTCCTAAAACGCGAAACTAACTAATTGAGTCATATTATTATAAAAAATCTACGTGTTTTGAGAAACCAGACCAGAATTGATTTAACCGATCGTGAGATAATTGCGGACATACATCCTGAATCTATAATGTCAGACTGAGGACCTCTTCTAAGTGTTTTTTTTTGTTTTAGGTTACAGCGTTGACTCTGGAATATTCGACGGTAGAGGTGAGGTGATGTATGTGGCTGGAGCTCCTCGATATAACATTGCTAGTGGTCAGGTTGGTAAAATGGTCTTATTTTCTTCCGTTTCTTGTATTTTTATTAAATAGTGTGGAATAAGTAATATGGTAGTGGTCAGTATGCATATGTGAGCACCATGTTAGACTATAAGATTATTTTTTGTTTTGTTTTTTTATTTTACTACGTTTTGTAATTAGTATAATGCGTCAAGCGTGTCTTTGCATTGTTCTCACATATACGTGTACAGTATTAGAATATGTAACAGAGACATTGTAGAACATACTTTTTTTAAAAAGAGTAACGAATGAAGTTTCTTTTATCTACATTTTACATCTAGAATGAGCACCTACCTTCACTGACGGACTGACTGATAGACTATCATTTATTATGTATTTGTTGACGTTTCCAAAGTGCTAAATTATGGTTGAATTGAAATAAATGCTTTTACTTTGACTTGGATAATAATAATATCAAAGACCTTGTTTTTTAACAAACATATTTTCAACTGTTACGTACCGAAAAATATTTTGAACCAATCCTAAAGTACCTTATGTATTTCCTCACTTGTATTTTCTTTTAGCAATTATTCTACCAAAATTACTTTTCCCAGGTAATCATATTCGTTCCACCAACAGAAGAGCTTGTGAGTTTAACCATTAAGGCCAAAATAAGGGGTCCACAAACCGGCTCGTACTTCGGAGCCAGTGTCTGCTGCACAGATCTAAATGGAGATGGGTTTGATGACCTACTGGTTGGAGCACCTACGTATGTGAAGGATGATGGCGGTCTACCTTATGATCAAGGAGCTGTTTTTGTGTATTTGTCTAAAGAAAAGGTATGTATTCGTTTTAATATGGTGGGTTACCATTTGATAGGGTATGTATTATATTAAACTGATAAGTGTGTTTAGTACTGCGAGAAAATTTGAAGCATTTTTCCTTTTTAATATGTAATTTTATTACGATAGATGCCGAGAAAACTTTTTTAAATAAATCTATTCGTAAAACACGGGAGAAGTCTCTTCTCATTTACACACGAATAATGTTAATGAAAACATTAATTTTTATACACCACAGATCATAAGTTTTTAATCCAAGGTTTAAAATCCTTTTTTGCAGGATTTTAGTTTCATTTTAGTAGAAAGTGGTATTGTGACTGGATCTGGCACTAATGGAGCATGGTTTGGACTGACTATAGCTGATCTTGGAGACATTGATGGCAATGGATTTAAAGGTATACTAATTACTACTGCTATGTACCTAATTTGTAGTTTATTTTTGATATTAATTTCAGTACATGAGCATGGTAGTGTGTGCATAATGTGTGCAGTAGCATGAGCGGTTTAAGGGATAAATAATAACGAATGTAAAATACAAATTGGTCAACTTATAAAATTCAAATAAAAATAATGAAGGGTCAAGATTGTGGTCTCGCTCAATCTAGTTATCATTTCCAATTTGTTCTGCTGTATCATAGTCAAAAACTTTTGGACCCTAGATGTAATATGTCATTAATAGAAACTTTAATTCTTTTTCGTGTTTTACAGACGTAGCTATAGGAGCACCATGGGAAGACGATGGCATCGGAGCGGTTTATATTTATAGAGGATGTTCCAAAGGGCTTAGTACAGATAACGTACAACGTATTCAGACAAAGACTGCTAGAGGTTTTGGATGGTCAATAGCTAAAGGCGTTGATATAGACCAGAATAATTGTAGCGGTAAGATTCCTATGTGAAGATGAATATTTTAATTTGGCCATAATTTATTTATTCTAGCTTCTGGTATCGGCTTTGCCCGCGTCCCCAGGGGTAAAAAGTAGAGTGGGGGCCAATAGGGTGAAGCCGACACGGAGCCGTGGAGGGCTTAACGAGTTGCCGGGGCTCCGGTTCGATATGCAGGAGTAGGAACGAGGTGGTTTTTAGTCAGTAAGAGTCTGACACTCCCTTTCGCCGTACCCTGGCGTAAGAAGTCATTGAATGATTTTTCCCCCTTAAAAAAGGGGGTAAAAAGTAACTCCAGACCATAAGCTATCACTGTTCCAAATTTCATCCCGGTCCCTTCAGTTGTTTTCATGTGACTGAGTAACAAAAATACATGAGTAAATTTACAAACTCATATATTTTCACATGTATCATATCGGTTCAAGCTAATTTCAACCATCTGCCCTATAGTTAGAGCGTAAAGTCCACTGCAGGCAAACTAACAATTATGTTTGTTATAATTTGCTTAAGTTTATATTTTATCATTATATTACGGTCATTCTAGTTTTAAGTTCTTTCAGTAATTTTATTTTGTTTTGTATTCGTTGCATGTATCATTTACACTGTGTCGTATGTCTTATGTTTAATTTCCTTTTCCTGTCGCAGGTCTGCAGGAAGAAATCCCTTAAGGGATATGTAGTACCTATGTCCCTCATGTTTGTAATGTGTTGTCCTTTGTAATATTGTCTGTGTGGTGTAGACTGTAGGTACATGAAATGATAAATAAATAAATAACATTCGACTTATATTAAATATTAAAGTATAGTCATACCAAGTTTCATTGTAATTGGACCAGTAGTTTTTGAGTGATGCGTGAACATACAGACTGACAGACAAAGATCACATCGTTGTAGATTTTTTGGAATTTTTGATCCATGTAGGAAAGATTATTGTGTACTTAATATTGACTAGCGTATGTCACGTATTGCTTTGTTTACGTTAATAACATTTATTGTGCTATTGTAATCAATAATTTATTTCTATGATACCCTCAGATTCGTTTAGTACATTTTGCTTAGCAACAGAAATTCATCACATATTGATGTGATGATGATGATGTGTTTAAGTAGCCACTGTTGACCAAATACCTTTACTCACATGAAGATGGTTTGAGCGTTAATCACCACGCTTTCTCAATGGGGGTTGGCGATTTCAAACTTAGAATTAGAAATTAAAAGCCCAGGTTTCCTCACGATATTTTCCTTTACTGTTTGTCAGAGGTGTCTAAATAATCTTAGAAAGTACATATAACTCAGAAAAGTCACATTGGTACTTTCCGTTGGTAGGTTTCGAACCCGCGCGGTTGTGCATGAGAAGCGGACGTCTTAAGCCTCTGAGCCACCACGCCTTTTTTTAATATTCTTTTATTTTTCCAGATCTAGCCATTGGCGCTCACAACAGTCAAACGGCATACGTCTACCGAGGTATTCCTACAATCAAAGTTCACGCATCAATCAAGGTTCCTAATGCAATAAACCTGCCATACAATACTACAAGTTTCCAAGCAGAATTCTGTGTGTCATCTCCGCCTATGGAACTTTGGCCTCACGTAGAACTTAGTAAGTATTTTCATTCTATTAATTCTTAGTACTTTATCCGAAGCATTTTGAATTGTTCACTTTATAAAAAGTACTGTGGCACATACCACTGGATGGATGATTCTTGCCCTCAGATAAAAGGTTCTTTACTGATTATTGTCAGTGACCGATCAAAATTTGGACGGTATTCCCCTAAAACAAATGATATCCTTTATCTGCTCCTACGGGAAATAAAATACACGTCATAGCGTAATCACTTAAATCGCAATGATCTGAAACTAATTCTTGTTATCTGAATTACGTTTTTTAGATATTATTGCGAATATTGAAGCTGATCCTGAATCCAACAGAGCCATGATATCTGGAGATTCTAAATATAACGTCCGTGTAACACCAGGTATTGAAACTTGCGACGTTCAAGAAATTGAAGTAAATGTAAGTAATAATGAAAATAATACCGTAGCTCTTGGTGATAAAGTCTAAAATCGTTTATTAAATAAGGAATAATGGTTTTGTGTATTGTTCTAGCCAACTGCTGATTTATCGAAGCCAATCAAATTGGTGTTCCAACTAGAACCTGATGAATTGATGAAAGGTAAACATTACAATAGTAACAAATTAAATTATCAAGTTGATTGAATAATCGTTTAGTTAAAAGAGTCCTTAGGTCAGATAAGGTTATATTTTGTTGTATCCGAAAGTAAGTAATCAGTGAGAGCCACGTTTCGGAACGTATGCGCCGGTAGGACCGGAGTGATACCACGGCCTGAACACGACACGGAATAGACGTGAAACAACACTTGCGCCGTGTTTCATCATATGGGTGAGGTTATAGGAGGCCCAATTACCCCAATTCCCTAACTCTTCAATTCCCGAGTCCCCAATAATACTCAAATTAATCTATTAATTCTAATCCCCAAAAAGCCGATAACGCACTTGTAACCTCTGTTGTTTCGGATGTCCACGGGCGGCGCCGATTGCTTGCCATCAGGTGATCCGTATGCACGTCTACCGGCTCATTCCATAAAAAATAGCTATTCCTTGTAGTAGTACATAATATTTGTCAATAGATAGAGAGTGGTACTCTTTCATATGTATAGTAAGAAAACTTAAAGACCAAGATTAAAAAGTGGATAATAAATCCATTCTATTTTGGACATTATTTCAGACAATTCGAGTACATTTTTGATGAATGCTGCACGATTATCTGAAGAGTCGACTTTGAAGACTTCGTTTCTTATTCAACTGATGAGGGACTGTGGTGAAGACCTGATTTGTACTCCTTGGCTGGATTTGACCTTGGAACCTTTGAATAAGTAAGATCACAATGCCATTACTACAAAATAAAGTATGTCTTTCTTACCACTGCTAAAATTAACTAAACTATGATCCGTAGATCTGTTAGAGATATTTGTAGAATTTGAAGGTTTTTGCTACATTTCTCTAGTAAAAGAAATGTTCTTGTTTTTAATTAATGTTTTTTTATCCTCACATACTAATCAATCTACTCTTTTCAGTCCCTATGTGCCAGGAAGTAACGGAACTCTAGGGGCAAGAATAACAATAGTGAACGAAGAAGAACCAGCATACGCTGCTAAAGTGAACATTTCCCTACCAATATCACCTAAAAGAATACCTAGCGAATGTTCCTTAGAATTTCCGCGAATGACCTGTGATGTTCCTTCACCTTTGCTCAGGGGTGAAAAGATTGTTTGGGATATTGAACTAGACTATGAAATGAATCATGATGCGAATGATACGAGAGACACTTTATTTGGCATTAGAGTTGAATTAACTGATCCACTGTATAGACATGTCACTGATGATAATGTAACTGATTTGTTTATCAGTGTTGCACATGAAGCTAAGTTCAGTGTTAGTGGGTAAGTTTGCAATATATTTTTTTTTGTTTAAAATGACTTTGGGCTGATTTCTGTTGTGTTGATGTCTTAACTGATATTTCTAAAGTATTTTTTTTATTTCTAGAAAACCAATGCCAAATGCCACGCTATCGATTCCAAGAGATAGTTTAGCAGCTGGAACAAACTATACATTTAAACATTACTTTGAGGTAAATATACCTATACCATTATTAAATAATTCATTAGATATTTTTGTCGTTCGATAGTAACTTTCGTTTTTCATTTCAGATTACAAATCTTGGTCCATCTGATACGTCTGCTTTAGAAGTTTATATTACAATACCAGATAAAGTGAGTTTAGTTTGTCATTCATTCTTGCCCTAATTTTTGACCACTGCTTCTTCAATATACTTTTTGTATTTTTTTCTATAGAATGTAGATTATCTACTTCGCAGTTCGCTTTAGGTAAATCAAATCAAAGCTTATTGTGATGGAAATTATTTAGGGTTTCATTAGAATCTTTATTTTTCAGACAACCTTTTCAACCAACATCAGTGGTTGTGTACCAACTGAGACGCCTAATCAATGGATGTGTTTCTGGTCCGTACCAGCCAAAGTAACCCAACCAGTTTATGTTCCTCTGCAAATGGATCTTAGTAAAGAAGGTTTGTTACTAGATACTCCCCCGTGGTTCAACTCGCTGCTCGGCTCCCATTAGTCGTAATGTACATACATAACACCTTTTATCCCCGAAGGGGAAGGCAGAGGTACACATTATGCCACTGTACAATGTAACACCCACTTTTCACTATTTATGTTATGAGTCACATGTATGAGATGAGCCTATTGCCATATACCGGGCACAATTCAAAGCTCCGTGCTACTACTGACTATTTTTAAAAACCCCAGTAATACTTTTCCCGACCCGGGAATCGAACCCGACACCCCTTGCCCGGCAGTCGCACTTGCGACTAATGAGGCAGTCATAGTCGTAACGTGATGTCTTATAAATTTCAGTAGTAGCACGGAGTCTAGAATTGTGCCCGATATATGGCAATAGGCTCACCCTCTATTACATGGGACTCATACCATAAATAGTGATAAGTGGGTATTACAATGTACAGTGGCATAATGTGCACCTCTGCCTATCCCTTCGGGGATAAAAGGCGTGATATTATGTTATGTTGTAATCAGTTTTAAGCTGTATGCCGTATGTAATAAGTAATAGTTTTCCATTTGAATTCAATTTTATTTCTATTCACACTTTATATTTTCAGGAAATTATCTACTAGAGAATACTACTTATAACGCTACTACTAAAGTTACTGTTCTCTTCAAAAAGAAAGCTACGTAAGTAAATAGTATCAATGTTAGTATAAACGCCAGCACATTAAGCTATCGTAGAGTAATCATACTTTTAATAGATATTATCAACCTTAATAGTTTACAGTTAAGTAGACAATGTATTGAACAACTTTGACAGACCAAGATAGCTTGATGGGCTTGTACGTATGTACAAACACATTACTTATCATCTCGTTACATTTTTGTTTAATATATTTATTTTATTACTTTGTTTTTCTGTAAATTATCTCTGTTTGTGTTTATTACTCATTCATACAAAATTAAATATTCTCAGTATTGATAAAATTAACTGCATTGTGAATTTTTAACCATCTGGTGACTAGTGATACTTCCATGAATAAGCACAAAGTCTAATTCATGACTCATGAGACTCCTTATCTTTAACAAACATTTTTGTAGGGACACAGATTGTGTCATACGTTACACAGATGTACATAGTACCAATTTAAAAAATTGAAATCCTAATCATAGTTAATTTATTTTGATTCAGTGATCGAACTTCATGCTTTTGATCACAGGACGAGCAAAAGTAGTCTCAACTTTGAAATATTTATTTATTTAAAGCTTCATGCACAAAATGTACATAAGGTGGACTTAATGCCGCAGGCATTTTCTCCCAGTCTGACCTTTGGGTGATGCAGAGAAGAGTTAATAGTGTGAGTAAGAAGCAAGCAACTATTTAATAGAGCAAATAAAATAGATACACTTACATATAATTTATTTTTATTTAACACTAGCTGTGCCCGCAACTTCGTTCGCGTGGAATAGTGATTTACTACGCTTACCCCGTAGGTGATAGCGTGATAATATGTCGCCTATGTATTGACTCGACCTGTTAGTAACAATCATACAAAATTTGAAGTAAATCCATGGCGTACATTTTGAGATCATCCCGGCCATACATACAGACAAACAGACAAAAATTCTAAAAACCATATTTATGGCTTCAGTATCGACTGTAGACCACTTAGTATAAGTTTAAGTATTAAATAAAAAATATTCGATGTACAGTCTTGACTTCTCTACGATTTTATTATATGTATAGATAGAGGTAGATTCATTTCACATCTTGTGCGGTTCATAAAACTGAACATCGTAGACACTCACACTCACACACACACACACTTGTTTAATTTGTTTTTTTTTGGTTTTCTTCTATTTTGGTTTTCTTTTATTCTGCATCTACCACCCATTCCCAGATTCTTTTCAAAAAATCCATCCAAAGGTTGTCTGGAAGAAATCGCCGCGTGTGATAAGACCACCCATTGTACCTACTCAAATTACTATTGCAATGTTTACAATTTTTTTTCTGTGTGTGCAATAAAGTATAAATAAATAAATACTAATGCATGTTTGTATTGTAATGTTTTGTTTTCCTAATTTACAGCAATTATGAGGTGACAACCCGATTGATTCTGGAGCCTGAAAGTATAACTTGGAAATTAATATTGATTTGTGTTCTGCTCGGCCTGTTAGTGCTTGCCGTGATAGTGACAATACTGTACAAAGTAAGTATAAAGTTATAATTCTAAAAAGTCGATAATGATGGTAAATAAACTCGTATACAGAGCGTATATGAATGGGGCTGTCGGTAAAGGGCGCCCGACATATTGGCGATATATTAAAGAAGGGCCAAATTGAAAGTACCCTTAACTGACGAGCAAGCATGAAAAGACTGATAACTGTTGATGAATCGAAAGTGGTGAGAATCGAAGTAATTGGCTTTCTATAGTCTCTGCCAACCCCTATGGGAGATAAGCGTGAAGTTATGTATGTATAAACTCGAAATAACATCCAAAAAAGTGTGTTTCTGTGACTAAAGCAGATATTTTTAGAACTTTAGAAGATGGAGTATAATTATGGATGGAGTATAAGAGATAATATTTTTATTATGTACGATATTTAAAATTGTTATCGTATCCCGTGTATGTATTTTAATGCCAAATAACTTTAGCATATTATTATCATGACTACTTTAAACTGTCAAACACCAAGCGGTCACAGGTGACCGCAACCTATTGTTCTATAATTGTGTCTACAAAACCGGTACTCGACGAGTTATAACAAAATACTAAAAACTCATATTACTGTTTAAGACTTATATTCATTGAGTAACCAAAAATAACTTAAAGCCAGTACATCATTAATTTTTATCCATTTCAGCGAGGATTCTTCCAGAGAACAACTCGTAGAATGCTACAAGAACAGAAGAACAATCAGAGATTGCTGCAAGAGAGTGACTCTTCATCAGGACAGATGGAAGAACATGATGTACCGTTAGATGATTCTGATGAAGAATTATAGCATTAAAAGGCTTTTACTTTTTAGAGATAGGTAATATTAAATATAGAGAGAGAAAGAGGGAGAAATAGGAAGAGAGAAAAGTGAATGAGAATAAGAGAATGTGAGATTGACAGAGAGAGTTGGGGCTTAGAAAGTTGACTGATAGACTGATATTTGTAATAAAATTTTTGGAAAAATATGTAAAGTAAAATAAATAAATAAACAAAATAGTCGTGGTGTGGGTTCGAAACCTATTAACGGCAAGTACCTTTCTCTTATAATACTCGAACTTATAATTTCTAATTATAAGTTTGAAATCGCTAACTCGCATTGAGCAAGCGTGGTTTAATAATACTCAAACCGTCTCCGTGTGAGAAGAGGTTTTGCCCAGCAGTTTGCATTTATAGGCAAAAATAAGTAAATTTTGTTTCATTAATGAAATTGCGAAAATAAATATGTTCACAAGAAGGGAAAGAGAAAAATATGAGGTCATAAAAAAGGTATAAGATATGTCAGATCATAAATGAGCGATTAAGATACCAAAGAGATTACTATTACAATATTAAAATTTAAGTATAATTTTCTAGTGTTAATGATATTTTTTCTACGATATGTGAAAATCAATTATATTATTATTTTTAAAAACTAATAATTATTTACTTTCCCTTTGGATCTCATAACTCAAAATTAAACTGTGCCAGTTAGATTGCCTATTTTGTAATAGAGAAGGCAACGTGTAAACAAAATGACAGTCAGCACATTTAAATAAAAATCGCGGGATACTCACGTGAATATACTGAGAAAAGCTCTACTAGATTCGAACCACAGAGGGATGCTTCCTCATGAGCAGCGTGCGCGGTCGCGGCGATGTTGCGCAGCCTACTATTACTAGTAGTAGCTTTTCTCACGTGAGTAACCCGCGATTTTTGGTTAGTTTAGTATGTTTCACGATAGTTATTATACAAACATCAGCCAGATTTATCTATTCTAAACACTAAATCGAAGAATTTAAATAATATTTTACTATATTGGTGTATGTACTTACAGTAATTGACTATATTAATAAATATTACATTACACTGTGAAATCTATTGCGCATTGGTACCGCGCAAAACGACTTGATATAATCAGTACCTACTTTCGATGTATAAAGTTAAAACAAAAAAATAAAGATGTCATTTTATTTTAGTTCAAAAATTTTTTTAATAGAAAAACGCATTTGAATCGTTATATCTAAATTTGTGGGCACTATTCGCATCACATGAGAAACACTACTTCGAGAATTCTATAGCGTCACGTTTTGATAATGTACTATGAGTTGGTATGTGCTTTCGAAGTTTGCTTTTTGCAATTAAACTGTCAAACACCAAGCGGTCACCGGTGACCGCAACCTATTGTTCTATAATTGTGTCTACAAAACCGGTACTCGACGAGTTAAGGTCACCAGTTATATTTTGTCATTATATATCTTACTAAAATTATTGTATGGTAATAACCAAGACAGCACCATTTTACTTCGGGACGATAACGAAATAGATTTCATGGTGAATAATGGCTTCTAGCCACTATACCTAACAACTGCTAACAAACAATTTCATAAAAATAATTTACTGCCATAATATTGTTTCTGACTTGATTGCACTACTTCAACTCACCCAACTTTTGCATTCACGCCTTGATTTGCTCCAACACCCAATTTATCAGTTCTATACCGATTCTATTAACACGATTTCCGGTTTATAGTAAAAGAGCCGACAATGCTAAATTTGGATTTATTAGAGCTTTATAGATATCCTACAGGATTATGAAGATTTTGTGATATAAATTATGTATATGATTTTTTTTTAATATTTAAACCATGTAATCATGAGATAACGCTTGCTTTGTGTTTCGTCGTGTGAGTGCGCGCCCAGTAACTCCCACCCCTCCTCTACCAATCTCCCTAATCTCTGAATCCCCAACAATCCTCATATTCCTAATACCCAAAAGGCCGGTAACGCACTTGTAATGTCTCAAGTGTTGTAGGTATCCATGGGCGATGTCAATTGCTTACCATCAGTTGATCCGTCAGCTCGGGTACCGGCTCTTCCAATAAAAAACCTCCTTCTTAATCGTTCGAAATGGATATTTTTTAATACCTTTTTTGATCATCCCTCTATCTGCATCAGGTGTATGGTAGATTTTTTTTGTGGCTTAAGCTGGTTAACGGGCAGATAGATCACCTGATGGTAAGCAATCGGCGTCGCCCATGGACACCTGGAATATCAGAGGATGGGCGAGGGCTTGTAACGCCTCTGCCTTTTGAAGATCTTTTGAAGAAGAAGGCCTTTTGAAGATTAGGAGTTTGAGGATCGTTGGGTTTCAGGAATAGGGGAGATTGGGGAAGAGGAGGGCAATCCGGTAACCTCACTTACACGACGAAACACAACGCAAGCGTTGCTTCACGTCGGTTTTCTGTGAGGCCGCGGTATCACTCCGGTCGAGCCGGCCTATTCATGCCGGAACGTGGCTCTGCCATACTTAAATCACGTCACTGGGAAATCCCCATTAATCTGACGCGTTCGAGCAGTAGCTCAGTCGAGCACTTTGGTAGTGTAAAAATTTCGTCGCGAGCTCCCCTACTATAAAACTACAGAGTTTAGAATTTAGAACACAGTCGTAATCAATCTAACTTCGAAGAGGATTTCAAACGCTGTGTTAATTTGATTTCTTGTGTGTGTTTACTTTGACAGATGACAAGTAAATCCGTTTTGTAAATAGTCAACTAATTTACTATGTTTAGTTGATATGTTATCATGAAATTCAGATCTTTGAACACAGTAGGTATATAACGAAATTGAATTTAAAACTAAAATAAAAGTCCAGGGCCCTTTTTTATAGCAATAAAAGAAAATGTCTTTGTCAAAGGATATGTTTCAAGTTTTAGTTTTTCGATGTAAGTTCAAGTTACTAAGTTATTGAGCATTTATTTTATCGAAGATTATCAGAATTACATTTACTCAAAATGCATACTAAATTTACTTCAAGTCGATCTAGAATCCGATCCCCAATTTCTCTAATAACTGAAACCTAACAATCCTCAAATTCCTAACACCCAAAAAGCCGGTAACGCACTTGTAACGCTTCTAGTGTTCCAGGTGTCCATGGGCGACACCGATTGCTTCCCATCAGGTGATCAGCCCGCTCTTTTACCGGCTTATACCTTAAACACATCAGGTATGCCTTCTTTCAATGAATTGTTCACTCTCCTCATTTTTAATTAATCCAATTTATACAATCTTACTACTTACATCGTAACAAATCATTTCTTTTTTCAAATCTTTATTTTATAAGAAGGGCTTTTATCCTAAAAGAAAAACGTCAGCACTGTTGTCGAATACAAAATTCAGTACGTACTTACTAAAATGAAGCAGCTAAACCGTTTATAGATACTAGCTGTTGCCCGCGTCTTTCGAATTGTGATTCACAGCTCCTCCCCCGTAGATGATATAGCGATACATACAGATAAACAGACAAAAATTCTAAAAACCATATTTTTGGCTTCGGTATCGATTGTAGATCACGCCTCAACTATTGTTTTTTTTAATATTTTATGTACAGTTTTCATTTTTCTACGATTTTATTATAATTATGTATAGATATAGAAGTAGCCATTAAGTTTAATCATAAAATAATTCAACGATACAATTTTCTAGCCTCAGATTGAAATGGTGACGCTAAAACAAACAAAACAGTTCTATATACAATTTGTATTGAGTATTCGGAAACTGAAAGTAATGAGATACACAATATACTACCTTGTACCCTCATTATCCCTCCTTAATGGCGCTAAGAGTGATAAATATCTCTCATCAAGCCTTTTATATAGTAATGAGACCGATGACTATTACTTTACGAATTCACAATTAAGACCCATTTGATTTTCAATGTTTAGGTATCTAGTGAAGTTACCACCTCTTCTCTTGACGTGACTTGATTCTGCCAGCGGTTTCGTCCGGTTTCCTGTGTATAAAAGTAGCCTAACGTCGGTTTTCTGTGAGGCCGTGGTATCACTCCGGTTGAGGCGGCCCATACGTACCGAAGCACGGCTCTCCCACACTTGCGAACATGCATACAAACAGTCGCATTTATCATAAAGTACCGCGGCACTTTATGATAACCCAGAATCTCTTAAGCTGAGGTATCTCACTCGCATGGAGATTACGGTTTAATACAAAACGTCTCGAGGTGAAGGACAGAATTGCATATTTTAAATGTTATATGTAACAATTACTATTAACCGATTTTGTTATGGGACCCATGTAATAAGAGGTAAAGGAGTAGCATTCAATTCTATCTATCCAAATCTTAGATTAGACAATTTTCATCACAATTCAGTGGCAAAGGTAATTTGTAATATCGTAAATAAGTCCTGAGGATTAAGCACGAATGCTATCGAAAAGGTTTTCGTATCGCTATCGAAATCATTTTCTATGATAATAAAACAGCGCCCCTATGGTGCGTAAAAGGAACTAAAAGAATAGTGGTCGTAGTAAAGCGTGAAAAATGCGATAAGGGCGTCTATTATCACTTTATCAGGCGTTATAGAGATCTCGGTTTAACTGGTTCAACTATAAGCCGTATGTTAGGTGATTAGAGTACAGATTTAATTGTTACGATGGATGAAGAACTTTTTCCATTTTCTTATCTCGAGACAGTTAATGGTCGTGATGGACCAATACACTTTAGGAAAACATTTTTAACAACTATGTTATGAGTCAACATATCTATGTTATGAGTCCCATGAATTAGGAGTGAATCAAACCCGAAACTCTGGTAGGCGTTCGTAAAACCCCCTTGCTTAGCGGTTGCCTTGAGTTTGAGACCCACTCGACTAACCTATTTGTTAGCAACCAGTCACAGAGTAAATAAATAAAAGTGCTGTTAAAATTTTCTGCTATTCTCATGTTATGTAGTTGTATGGTCAATTTAACAGATTAATAATTGGATCAGAGTCCACAAATATGATAAAAACTATGAACAGCAAAGGGACAGTTTAAAATAGAAAGCAAAGAAAAATGTTCGGAACTTGTTGCCTGACTTTATGTGATCTTACTGAAAAGGAAATGCATATGCGTCTTCATCATAAATATAGATCTTCGGCAGGTCACAACTGAGCTGTTCTCACGTAGCTTCTCTGAACGCTTCTGTGTTCTTCTCTCTTTCTTCCTCACACAGCAAAACTGTGGAATGATCTGTCGTCGGCGGTATTTCAGAACCTGACCTTCAAACCTTCAAGAAAAGAGCGCATTCCTTTTTAAAAGGCCGGTAACGCATCTGTGACTCCTCTGGTGTTGCGTGTGTCCATGGGCGGCGCTGATTGCTTACCATCGGTGATCCTCGTTTGCCTCCTATTTCATAAAAAAATAACATAACATAACATTTTATTCCCGAAGGGGTAGGCAGATGTGCACATTACGGCACTTAAGGCCACGGTACAATGTAACACCCACTTTTCACTATTTATGTTATGAGACCTATGTAATAGGGGGTGAGCCAATTGCTATATACCGGGAACATTTCCAGACTCCGTGCTACTACTGAGGTGTTTACAAACCCCAGTAATACTTGGTCCGACCCGGGAATCGAACCCGAGACCCCTTGCCCGACAGTCCCACTTGCGACAACTCGGCCAATGTGGCAGTCAGAAAAATCTAGATCGTTATTTTTCTGATAATTTTAAACTATAGCTAATCTGAATTCATGTAATAAATACTCAAATACAAAATTGAGTTAAGTCTCTGCTCAACGATACTCC